GCTCTTTTTTCTCGGATTTCATTCTACAAATTATTTATCTAACAAAAGACTAATGCAGTTAAAGGGGAAAAAATTGAAGATGTCAACAAGAAAACGGAAAAGGGTACAACCAAATTCTACTCGGCCCTTCAACTAGGCTGCCTCCAAAAATATTTACAGCATATTCTATGGCCCTACTCCCGCGCTCTATCACTTCTTCCTTCACTTCCATGAGCTTGCAGTCTTATTTAGGCATAAGTCATCCTTAATAGGGGAAATATAGTAACATCTCAATTCTCAAAACTGGCAAGAAGTCCCAAGCCTTTGTATCTGCCTCTGACCAAGGGTGATCGACTTGCGCTTGGCAAAAGCTGGGTGAAGAAGCTCTTCAAACTTCTCTAGAAATAAAGCCCACTCGTCGTCATTCATATCTGCTAGCTTCACAAAGGTGACACTTGCAGGAAGCTGCTCATTTGCACTCCGATGTCCAGAGGAGGAACTAGACAGATAGCCATTTTCTGGTTTTGTTCCTGAAATATTAGGATATTTCAGTTTCTTCTCACCTAAGCTGGTATTCTTGAGAGACATTGAAAGTTTTGACATAGTATTGTTCTTTGTTGGGGCAGGAACACAATTAAAGCACTTTTCATCTTCTTCACCGCTTTCCTCTTCCTCAATACTTTCATCTAGTTTAGAGAGTGGGAAGCAGCCATTTCCTCCAATTGGAAGATGAAATGGGTTTCTATTCATGAAATCCCGAGAAATCAATTTGGGACTAAACTCATATCCAGCATCTTCGCAATCTATGTCAAATTGAAACTCATTATCCACTTCAGCCTTTGGAGAAATAATCTCCCTCTCAGCAATCAAGCTTCTTGCCTCCAAACAAACAACTTCAAGCTCACTTGGTTTCTCCTCCCCGCTATGGAATTCCCTGCTCATCATCTCACCAATTTCCGCAAGGCAGAGCCCATAAGCAGTGGCTTCCTTGAGAAAAATGGTGGAAAGGACCAAGACACGAAGGCATGCTTCACGTATCATAGGGAGTTCGCTTCGCAGCATCTCAGAGTCCCGAATAGGATCAAGTTTCTGTATATACTCAAGTTCATCATCTGTGAATGGAATAGACGCCTGGGGCCAATGGATCCACTCAAAATACGGGTCTTCCAAGCTCTCCGGAAGACACAGCCCATGATCAATGGGGATGAGCTCTACTTGACCAAACCTTCCAATACCGTCAAGCTTCCTAACTAAAAGATTTCCTGCATGTCTATCTGTGTTAAAAATCCTAATGTCTAATATTCCAATCCGATGTACTGCAGCAACAGCAAAATTTGAGGTTCCATGGTCACTAGCATCAAAATCATGGGGAACGAATTGTTGAAAAGATGCAATCTTGCTCACAAGCTGCTTCTTGCTGTGAGGCTTGTCTCCATTTACACCATCGTTGACATTAAAGACTGAATGAGTGATTTTCACCAATGTAGTAGCTGGCACATTGGCAAAATGATCATAGTCAAGAAGATATGCAGCGACCTCCCTATACCCTGTTTCCCCAACTCTGACTGATCGTTTTAAGCCTGGCTGCCCAAGAGCTTTGCCCACAAATCCTTTAGGATTGTTTGGCGCAAATGGTTCTTCATCTGTGGGCTTGACAATAGCAATGCTCTCACCTCTGCTATTTCTGAAATAATATGCCCCTCCAAGTCCACCGTGAACAGGAAGTGGATCAACTCCAGTCTTTATTGCCTTCACAATTTCCTGGATAAGTTGCTTTGTTTGGGCAAAGCGACCTGCGTTTCCCAATATTTCAATGGGACCACTTTGATCTCTCGGTTGGATGTGATCCTTCCCTGTGGGCAAAAGGCATGGAGTTGATGAGCTTCGATGCATAAAGTTCCTCGTCAGCAGTAGAGGGGAATCATTCCGAACAGCACTCAGATCATTCTTCAATACCCTATCACCAAATGTCAAAGAACTCTCCTCAATTGGAAAGTTAAGTGCAAGCTGCAACCTTCTTTTCACAGTATGTGCGTTATCGCTGCGTTCTAACTCCATTCCCAGTACACAACCAGTCTCAGTTTGAACAAAAACACGTCTCCTCCCAGTCGGCTTCCCTTCCATCCTACCCTTCCCATGGTATTCCCCACCAAGTGGGCTCTTGAAGATTGCCACAGCCATCTGGGTCTGAACAGGACTTTCCAGGTTACGAGACATAAAAGGTCGAGAAACACAGTTGGGCGTCACAATCAACAAAAGAGATGGCAGTAGAAGAGAGCTTTCCTCGAACTCTAAGTTGCGCGCCAAAACTCAGAAGCCGATTGTGAGCAAGCAAGGAAATGATTCAATCTGGAAACAATCATCAATGAGCAAACAGGGCACAAAAACAACCCAGATGAACCACAGGCAACAGCAAATATCACTAATGCGTCAAATATGGACAGCAAGGGATCAAGAATCTCAAGTGTTACATTAGAAGAGCCATCTCATGATGTGGATAAGACAGTGCACAAGATCTGTAAAGAGATTTAAAACAGAATCAGAATACAACATGGATTAATTCATGCCCCCATTAGTCAAGAAATGTAATAAGAGCATTACAAGGCTATTAAAGTCATGGATGACCAAAACCACCAAATAGAAAATATAAAAAGGATGTAAGTGACATACACTGAGAAAGTAAGGAATTTTTTTACACCATCACCATAATTAAGTTACATCAGCTTGCCGACAAGTTGGAGATAGAAATGCAGTTGTGGTGGTGTATTTGACTAGTTGGAGTAGGCTGGTTATCCATGTTTTCTAAGTTAGCAACTCAAGCTTACTACAACTGTTACCTAGTTGGACCAGTATTCAAGTTAAACCCACTACAAATAGATCACTGATTTGCAGATCACGCCAGTATGGTAGCACTAGGCTCGTGACCTATCACTGATTTTCTAATTCCTTAACATTTAGGAAACAGGAGACAGTAAACAGAAACATCACTAACATAAGGCTTTCAGATCTTGAAAGCATCTAGTATTGTGTTCACAATCAACACTAAGCTATAGACCACTTGAAACTGAAACTCGTTTAAAACACGTTATACATAGAGAACCTAATTAATTACACAGATAACACTATTTCCTATCAAATAACAATGTTTTATTGCTAAAACAGAGTGATTTTTGAGTAATTAGTAACACTCTTCCATAAGATTATAAGTAGTATTTAATCTCTCATTTCCAATGGTTTAGAGAAACTTGGATTTTTTTCTTCTTGAATGATTGTGATGTTCATAGCAGCTTGCGTGCACCTCAAATTTTCCACCGGCTACCTGCTAATCCCCACCATCACAGCTACAGAGACTTGAAACTGAACATCTTTTCAAACTGTATATACACGAAATTCAGAGAATCTAATTAATTTACTCAAATGACACTCTTCTATTGCTAAAAGAAAGTGTTATTCAAGCAATTAGTAACCATCTTCTTGGAAAACATTACTAGCATTCAACTGTAGAACACTCATATTCATTCAATAACACAAAAAATAAAGAATCTTAAACAGGTAAACTTAAATCCTTTTAGAAAACCTTCAAATACAACCAAGAAAAATCCAAATACGCCAGTCTAATTAATTTCTCGAATATATATATGACTCTGTCGTATCAATTAACACTGTTTTACGCTCAAAATAGTGTTATTTGAGTCATTAATGACACTCTTCTGTAAGATTAGCTCTCATTTTCATTCAATAACTGAACAAAAAAAAAAGTAGATTCATATAAGAATCTTAAACTGGTAAATTTATATCCTTCAAAGAAAAAACAAAAGAGAATTAAAATCAGATGAAATGTGAATAAAACTCAGATAATCCGGAACGAACATCCAAGGACAAATCAAAATAAATGAAAGTTTCTTTCCAAAAAGTTGAATGAAGGAAGCAGGGAAAAAAACGTACCGGAAAGCCAGATCTGAGGATAATGCCTCCGTATCTCCCTTTCTCTAGCACCAGAAAGAACACAGCTCGCCGGCGTCCAAAGATTCAAATCACTTTTTAACCGTCTGATTCAGATACAAAGAAGATTCAACGGCAAGGATTTGATTCAGTTCCCTTTCCTCACTCCAAAGCCACCAAAAACCCTCTCTTCCTTTTTGCTCTTTGTAGCTTCTTCAGCTTCTTTTTTGCCCCTTCGTTATTATATGCATGTGTAGCTATATATCCATAACTGGATTTGGCCTATTTTTTTCAACTCTAAAGTCCTTTTAACTCTGGTTTGTTCTCCACCAGTGGAGTAACGTTTTGCGCGAATCGTGGTTTGGTTTGTTAACTAACTGTAGTTTATTGTTAATAGCTTCTTTTATGGAAACATTTGGAATAGTGGATCTTCAGCCGTTCGATTGTATACAGACGGCGGGATGTGGTCGGGTTAAACGGAGATAGTGACGTGGAGGTATGTGATTAGAAACTGACGTGGCATGGTCAGCGGGAACGCTTGAATTTCCGAAAATGTCCTCTTCCTGTTTTACCTGGATGGAGCTAATACGAGGTTCGACGGCATGCTTCGCGCGTGTACGGAAAGATGATAGGATGGATTCTGTGTGATTTCCAGCTGGAAGGTGGGGTTATGTTAACGTTTTCATTAAGCAAAATTATTAAACAAAAAAGGGCTTTCATATTTTGCCCTTTTTTCCGTTGGGTGGGGGGGGGNATTACTTTTTAACTTGAATTGTATATTTAATATATTTATAAATAAATAAAGTATGCACATTCAGATGTTGGAAAACAAACAGTCTTAATAATTCAGTGTTCAGATTTAGAGACAACATCTTAATCATTCAGATGTGCATTCAGATTCAGACCTCGTGCTAGCAAGTAGCAACTCTTTGGTGGCCTTTTGTTGGGTGAGACCAACATCCTGCCTATGGCAAGACCCACAAGGGGCTAGGGAGCTCGGGTCGAAGTCATGATCGAACATGACGCTTGCTTGGTGGACTTAGTTAAGAAATAAAGTTGTGCCTTTGCTATCAGCTATAGCTTTTGGCGTGATGGTAAGCGTTTGATCCTAACAAGTGGTATCAGAGTCAAGGTCATGGGTTCGATTCCCAAGAGTAATATGCTGCATGAGGCGGGTGTTGAGAGGGGGATTGTTGGGCGAGGCCAACATCCTACCTATGGCGAGGCCAACATCCTGCCTATGGCGAGCTAGGGAGCTCGGGTGGAAGTCATGATCGAACATGACGCTTGCTTGGTGGACTTAGTTAAGAAATAAAGTGGCATTTATCTTGAAAGATAGAGAGGTTATTTTCAATAGACCCTCAACTCAAGAAAAATCTTAGCAAAATAGTTTGAGAAAAAAAGATGGAAGTGAAGAATTACGACTGATAGCTTGAAAAAATATTCTGAAGAAAAATAAGGAACAACAACTACGACAAAATAATACTACAATCAAATAATAATAAATAATAGATTGTAACAGAATTATATTGAAAAATAACACGAATGTTTGGAAAAGATTTTGAAAGAATTATGTAGGAAAATTAGTTCTCTCTGAATAAGTGTTTTAAATCTTGAGACTTTATAAATGCTTTTATATCGGTAAAAATTGATAAATAGCTAATTAAACATCTTTATTTTTTACTAAATATTTTCAAACACAAGAATAATAAAAAAAATATAATTTAAAAAAAACTATCTCTGAAAACCAAGTTCTAGGTTGATTCTAAAAATTAATTTCTAGTTCTTGGACATGTGATGTATATTCTATATTATTAATATATTCAATTTGAAATNGACATGTGCAACGCATGTATATCCATATTAATTAGTATATTCAATTTAAAATAAAATAAGTAATATTAAAATATGTGTGTCATGAATTACAAAAAAATAAATTTAAGAAAAGTGTGATTAGAGATTCACTTATTCATCAATAAAATGCAAAGAGATCTGAATGGTTTGATTCAATTAAAACGTTAACATGATGCTAATATCCTCAAATGTATAAAAGAAAATATAAAAACAAGAAAATAAAAGAGAATATAATAGTTTACTTCCCTATTAGACGGAAGATCATTAGCTTTTGTAAATATACATAAACAAAAATATTTAGTTATAGTTGGAGTAACTTCTACACAAGCTAGAAAGCATTTAATAAGAATTATTATGTTTCTGATACTTACGCAGAACCCTTTTAGAAAGGCTCTTTCTTCAACTTCTAAGCCACAAAAATAACAATTTAAGTCGAATAGTAACAAAAATGACCCACAGTTTGCACTTAGAATATACGGCAAAATAAAATAAAAAATTCTTTTTATGCTAAATTCGTAAAGGATAAGATAAATAATGTTGATGATATGATTTTACCGCATGTCTCTAAGGAAGAGTGAAATGACTGACCTTATCATCTTATAAGGCAGCAACCCTAGATGTTGTTGGGATACGTGCTATTAATCACGTGTTTAGATATAGTATTTATTATAGAATAATTATTTATTCAATTTTAATAAAGATTTAAATAGATCATATATTAGTGGATGTGTCCTTTACTTATATAGTAGATGATTTAGTGTGTAGAATTTAGCTTATACACGGAAGATTATCGTCGATTCTTATAAGTATAAAGTTTATATATGTTCACAATCTAAGATAAAAATTGGACAAATTCATTGGTACGATTGTAGTACAAGATTAAATATAATTTATCTTGATTATGAGAATG